ACCTCGAGACTGAGGATTTAACGTCTCCCACAACCCGGAGAGCAGTTCCGTGTCCCAAACTGCGTGCATTTGTACCTACCCCTACCATCTACTTTACCCAATAAACACAACAAAACAAATCAATCTGCCGATTCTAAGAGCATGAGGGCGAAGGATGAGGAGACCTACTAGCCTCGCCACTAATCGCCTTAGTCTCGCCACTAATCGCTGTAGCAAATGGCAGTAGGGGATATCGTGCAGACGTGTAAGGACCACAGCGTGAGTACATGAGCTTGTTTGTAACCAATAATGCAAAGGCTTGATGTGAAGTATGATAAGAATGAAAAGAATCAATTGGTGTAACAAATGCTGCTGTGTCAAAGGCTAATTTGCATATGCTGATGAGAGTCAGTTATAAGAAGCCAACTTACGTTGTATTTCATTCCCTTCCTGAGCCAAAACGGAGGAGGCAAGCAATACGAGACAGAAGTAAAGCACCGCCATCAACACAAATAGTCGCCGCATTTACAATGCCACACATTTATACGAACGCCTTCCAAATTGTCAGCCAATGAAACGTCGCCTTCTTGACCCACAAATCCACTTCTTCATGAGTGCACTTCACGCATGAACTGATGAGACGTCTAGACGAGTCCATATCCAACTCCAATGCTTCTTATCATCGGCGTGCCAAAATAGGCAATTGATGGATAATGCAACGTGAATTCACACCATGAAATATGAGGTTGACGTTAGTGTCACCTGAGCGTTGGCTATCGTGTGTAAGGTATCCTCACTCAAAGTCCTCTCTCCCTGTCTACACACCCTTATTGTTGTTGTTGCTGCTGTTGTTATAAGAGGGACACACGCGGCTATTCGTTGAAGTGAGACTGCAAACCTACTGCAGGCGTTGCCGAACCTAATGAGCGAAGACGCTTCCCTTACTTCTTTTTTAACATAGAATGCTCACCTTTGATGCACCAACCACCCATTTCAATAATCTCACACCACTACTGCTACCACTAATGCTGCCTCATCAATTCCAAGTCACTTGACTTAGTGTTTCACAAATGGACTAAATTCTTAACGGAGAAGCATTGTTCCCTCATAAGCTTAATCGCTGTCAGTGGGAACATAGACGCAAGTAACAACTGTGCCACAGTCAGTGTGCCGCAATACAGAGAGTGTGGGTGGTTCAACTTCACTCACCTTCTAGCATGTGACAACGTTGCATTATCGCACGAAATTCTTCAAGCACATTAGTCTACCTCCAATAATAAAGAGCATTCTACGTCTTTTTCATTTATTTAGAGATAATCTTCTTATTTGCTAGGACCTTTAGCCTGCATTTAGGTAAAACGATACATTTCACCAAGCCCAATTATAATGATAAGCAAATGAAATGCGCATTAATCGTGGACTACAACTCCTCTCCCCTTGTCTCAAATTCGAGCATCGCCATTGTAGAAAGGGGGCATGTAATGGGTCTCAGCTTCTTGAGATGAATGCTCACAAGCGACCAAATCTCGCTGTCTACTTCCTTCAGCCATGTATGAATACATTGTTTGACAATGTGGGTCTCTTGCACAAGACGACGTCAAGCATTTTACTGGAAATAACGGATATTTGCTTTACCCGTCATATTTGGCTATTCCGGTGAGTAGATAGTCTGTAGTTGTCTTTTACAGGCCACATTTTTTGCTACAAATGAAGTGAGAGAATGTATGTGGGAAGGGAGTGGGCATTCAAGGTGCTAAATTGGTAGAGCGGAGTAAGAAGCACTCCTTGTGGTGAAGAATTCTTTCTTTTAATGGAGGGTGACAGTGCAAATTAGTCAAGATAGGTGGCTGCACGAGAGGGCAATCAACTGGGAATGGGAAGGTTGATTTCCTTGTTACATTGTAGAAGTCGATACCCCTTGCCGAGTCGAGATAGGCGCAATTGAATGTGGAAGAGGAGAGGTCTCCTGACATGTGTATGTCTGCTGGATTTCCACACAAGCAGAAATGTGTTGCCTATGTTTTCCCCTGCCAACACTTTGCTCTTCACTCATTGGTTCTCCATTGTCAATCCACGTTTTGGTGATTTGGCCTAGAAACAGTGCCGATGTGATGGTGGAAAGTTGTCAGTGTCGTGCGCCTCGCAAACACTCACGCACCCACTTACCCACCCACACCACCAATACTTGTGTGCTTAACTTCTGCACCATGCTGTCCACACAGCGATGGGAAGGAGCAGCCTTTGATGAAATACTCCTACGCAAAGGAGCGCAAGCAAACATAATTTGACTTTAAATACAGCAAATTAGTCTGAAGTAGAAGGGTGACACACTCTGCTTAGGGTGCGTAAAAATAAAATTAGAAGTCGTGGGCATGCTGTGGAAGCCGTAGAATGAGAAGTCGTAACCACCACGCCTCAGCTTCGGCCCATCATGTGCTATGCGCAGAGGATCTTGGGGCGGCTGTCACGGCACA